GGACATAAAATATGCGCAAAGTTATCGCCAGACGGAGCAAGAAATGGTCAAGTTGGAAAGTTTTTTCCCTTCCTTTAGGAGACGAGTGGAAAGTCGGGAAACTAAATGAAAAAGTATTAATATATCCTTTTGCCACGGGCGGGCATTGCAAATTATTTTACTCTGGGGATTGCCCGAAAATTTCCTTACACCCACACACAGGCAGACAGTCGGATGATACACAAGACCTTTTCTCCCAAACAACATGTATAGTATAGTATGGTATGGTATATCCCAACAAAAAGACATCAAACTTCGTACCCTTTTTTTGGGCGAAATAAAAGTTGTAAGTGCATATGGCAAAAGAAATGGCAAGAAAGGACGAAAGCCAGGCTAGTGTGTTCTGGCAAACAGTTTCGATACAGTCTAGTTGGAAAAGTTGTTTGGCCAAACTTGTTCAAAACTGTTTCGAGTATTGACGTTTGTAAACATTTTTATGTTATTTCGGTGGCCGAAAAGTTTCTATTGCGCAATTGGAAAGATAAATGCTCAATTGTAGTTGAAACTTTTGGATTAAAAAAATTATTAAACACCTCGGTTAAACTTTAAAGGCCATTATCCTCTCATACTTTGGTTGCAGGGACAATAAATTAAATACAAGCGACTTTTAATCCCAGTGGGTCAGGATTTTATTTAACAATTTTAACAGCCGCATAAGCACTGCGACTGAGCTCAGAGCTCTGAGCCACCCGCGGTTTTGGCCAAAAGAAGAAAACTGTAATTGGAACACGACCACCACAAAGTTGCCGTCGGTTTTATTATCTTCGCTTCTGGGTCCTGGCTTCGCGCATTTCATTTAAGGGTGTTGATGCTGTTTATGTTGTTGCCACTGATGCTGCTGCTGTTCGCATATTGTCGTGTGTTTATTACAATGCAAAGTGCAAAAAGGAGAAAAACAAGCTCAACTAAAATGTGAAACCCCCAGGCAATATGATACCCATTATCTGGCACTGGGACCGGTCGGGGCGACAAACTCGGCACACACCAAACACCGCACTGAAAACCGTCAGCGGGTAAAAGTTTAAATAAATTTTATGTGGCTCAGCCATCGCATTTACCCATCCCCTGATCATCTTTTTTTTAGCTTTTTGTTTGGGGCTCGTTTTTTGGTGCAGGACGGCAGTGATGTTGGCGCATATGTTTAATCAGCAAAGTAAACCGAGCGACCCGAGTCTGACCCGGCTTCCAGTTAAATCTCACCTTCTGTCCACTGCGCCACGCCCCCTTATAAATAAAAGTTGCTCTTTTTTTTTTGTTTGACACAACCACACGGGCAGATTTTGGCTTTCATAGGATGCTTACAGTGCGTTTCGGTAAGGGAATATTAACCAAAAAAAAGTTGTAGAAAAGTATGAGAAACAAAGCTAAATAAAAATTGGTGAAAGTCAAAACCATACCTTCTGCATTCGTATAATTAATTTTGCAAACTCCATTTATTTAATTTCTAACACATCTGTCTGATTTTCAGACAGATTTTATGCAAATTGCATTTTCTCTTTTTCACGATAAACAAATCAAATTAAATCCAGACTCTGTCTAACTTCCTAGCTCCTTTAAAATCAATTCGATATTTTATTAATTATTCTGACGCTGCAATAGTGGGCAGTATTTAATTATTTTCCATGACCGATGAAATCACGACAAGACCAACTAGTTGAGATTATTTTTGTTTGTGCCGGTTGACTGCCGCCAACCACTTCAGGTCGATTAAAAGTTAATCCTGTCCGCCGACTGTCAGCTGTCATACAGTTTCGAAACGGACTGCTTAATTTTGACTGCAGCATAAAGTTTGTAAAGTCAATGACCAGTTAAGTCAACACTTCGTCTGCCGGCTGAAGGTGTTGTGGGCGAATGGGTGGGGTCAAGGGTCAGGTGTCGAAGGCAGGGCCGGTTGAGTGGGTGAGCGAGTGGCTTCATATTGAAATCGTTTACATCATGGCCGGCACTCTCACATTTTAATATTGCATTTTAAAGAGGAGCATAAAACTGCTGACGCGCGACCGATCCATTTTTGTGTTCATGCCGTCCAAAAGGATATTTAAGGATATTATTGCAATGCGCGGAAAAGCAGCAACAAAGGAAACCCAAACAGCAAAAAAGAAAATGCTGTGAAAAGTCCGCTCCCGAATAAAGTAAAGTGCAATAATATTTTTGTTTTTGTATTTTTTTGCTTCGGATGCACAGCAAATTTTTGTGGTTTATATTTTTCTTTCGAAAATAATTTTTACCACGAACTTTAAGCCCTCGGGCGACATGAAGCATTTTTGACATCCTTTGTGTGTCCTTAGGCAAGTCAATCAATTCTTTTTGGTGACATTTTTCCTCTCTTGTTAAAAAAAAGAATTAGGTTGTGAAAATGCGAATGTTTTTGTTAGATCTTGTGACAGAATGTTTTAAAATTTCTTTCTGTATAATTTTTTCCAAAATATTCTCCTGAAAAGCACCATTTTTTGCGGTGCATCTAGAAAGCTTTGTAGCCCAGCGGATAACAGAGGATATCGTTATGTATAGCTTGTTTGCTTTCTCTGGCACAATGTTGTTAAATTTTATGTTTCCACAGGTAATAGTAGTAGCGTCATCCTGAGGAAACGCCAACCACCTGCTGGGCTCCATATTGCAGCGGGTTTTTTGATTGATGTTGCTCCTTTTCCGCCACCGCCTTCGCCACCGTATCCTTCTCCAACTGCCGGCTGGCTTCCTTTTCTCGGCTGGCTAGGACTGCTTCCCAGGATGCTTTCCCGGTTTCCTCCTCACTTGCTTACAATCAATTTAAATGCGCCTCTGTGCATTGTGAAATTCTCTTTGGCTAAATCGTTATGTTCGGGGGCCATAAAACTGGATAACTGGGCCATGTTGCACTTTCCACACTTGCCGTTAGTGTGGCAAACTTTTTCCGATGCAAAATGATGCAAGTTTCCCACTCGGAGTCTTTGTTTTCTTTTCCATTGGATTTACTCGTCCTGGTTGTTTGTTTGTTTGTGTGCTTCCTTTGAGATCATTTATCATTTTTATAGCCCCTGAATGGTACATTGGACTAATCTAAATGATACCATCGCTCCTCCTGCCACATGGCAGAATCTTAATGGAGAAATAGTCCAACGATAAAGACATAAATCAATCAATTTTCGGGAGTTTTCGTATCGAGGGTGGTCGGTACTCGATGTTCCATTGTAGCTTCTTGAAAATCCTGGGCGTAAAAAGCAAGTAATCAGAGTCATTTATTAAAGAAAGAAAATTTGATTTGTGGAGATCATGAATCCTGAAGAACAAACAACAGCTTTCAGAAACAGAAATTACTTGGCTCTTAACTTCTTGGCCTCTAGGGCAGTGTTTAATTTTGTTAATTAAAACATGGATAAGCTCTTTCTATTTTAGGGCGGTATCGTTTATTGTGAGTACCACCCTCCACCCAGCTTCTTAATTTGACATTTTTGATGGAGGTCCCTTCAATCATATTTAACTATTCAGGAAAAATTCAATTTATGTTTTAATCAAGTTGGGAACTTTTCCTCATATTTTCTATTTGTTTAGCTAATCATTTAGAGAAAGTTTCCATTTATTTTCAACTAAATTGCCTGCCACATAGATTCCAAAGCTATAAATTTAATAAATGGTTTCACATTAATTTTCCGCATTGCCTGACATTGATAAGGGTTTGTATTGAACTAAACTGACCAAGGATGCTCTAACTTAAAGTTTTATTCTTTCAACTGTCACAATCTTTAGATTTCTTGGCAATATAGTGCAAATATTTAAATAAACATGCTAGCTGCAAATTCCTTTGGGGGACAATTACTTTTCACACATAAATTCCAAGTTGATTTCCATCGAGAATATTAAACAATTTAGTAAAAAAGCAAATAAAATATATTTTACCGCATAAATGTGTTATATGAAATGCCACATTTGAAGTAGTTGTGGGTGTGGTGGCCCAACAATTTGCCCTAATTCTTCTGCCACAGTGACCGCAAAGTTTCACCCATCTAAGTTCTATAACTGTGCGAACCACCGAACCTCCTCCATCACAGCCCCCTTAGAGGCGCACTCGTCTAACTTGGCTGGCAGGCAATTGAAATACACGCAATTGAACAACAAATTGAATTATGCATTGCATATGCTTCTTGTTTTGTGTGCTGGTGTAGAGTAAACAAATTGATTTTGATTTGATTTATTTATTGACTCTCGCCCACTCGTTCGCTTTTTCTCCACCGGAACCCACCCACCCACAATCCGCCTCTATCAATATCAAGTTCCCAGTTCCCAATGTGCTCGTTTCGGGTTTTGTCAGCACACTAAAAAAATTGATAAATTGTTAAAAATATTCCATATTCACAAAATTCTTTTCCATTCTCTTCAGCAATGAAAGAAATGATCAAAAAAGGTTAAGTTTTTGTTTCGAATTTCGGCAATTATGAAGACAGCTGCCTTTTTTTTAGACATGCTTTTGAAGTTTTTTTTAGATTTATTTTTAAGAGAAATTATTCAGTTGTGATTATTTTTGTATACTTTTAGTTTTGTGTATATTTTGTGTTTTAGTTTTGTGTATATTGTTATTGTTAAAATAACTTCAATTTATTGTTCTTCAGTGGCAAAGGTTATTTTTAAAAAAGAAAAGAAAAGTATAAATAGTATATGTATGTATGTTATAATAATAAACAGTGGATAATAAAAATTAGCCAACATGGCGTATGAGTAATGTAACTGAAGAAATTACGTATACGCCCTGTAAACCTTTTTAGAACATCTATTTATCATACGACATGTGGAAGAAATTTTTTTCCATGTAATTCAATTGAAATAGAAATCCTGATTTAGATTTTTGAGTAAAACTCATTATAATTGTAGAAACTCAAGACTTGGAAAATACAAATTCTTCTAAAAAAACTACTATAAAAACCTAATATTCAGAACCAAAAACCTAATAAATAAATAGTAATCCCCATATCTTGTTATTTTTTCAGTGTGGTAACACATTTTAGCGCTTCGCTTGAAAATGTTGGAGATGGCCCCAAATGGATTCAGTCGGACAGTGGCGGCGGTGGCTGCCTAGAACGGAAAATATAAAACGGAAGCCCGAAAACCTAAAACCGTAACCGAGACCTCAGACTCGAAAATAATGTGCAGCAGCAGGAGCAGCAGCAACAGCGGGCACTGAAGTTGACAAGACTTCACCACATCCACACACGCCCACACACCACACACAGACATTGGCACACAGATAACCACTAATACACACGTCGAGGAACTAAAAGGATATATAATACACTTTTTTTGGGGGGGAGCGGAGTACAACAATGGTCATCCAGTGCACATGTGATTGCAACTGCAGTGATAGTAGAGATAACCGGAGCATCATCTCCTGCCTGCTCCCCGGAAGAAGCCAGCCGTATAAACTGGAACTGGGACTGGGATTCGGATCTTCGGCTGTTGGGGGCGATGATATGGAGCATAGGATTCCGTACTATCGCCGCTTATCGAATACCTCATCGGCGCTCTATGGCAGCTGTCCCCAGTTACTACCCAGTAGCAGCACCACCCATATTAGCACCGGCAACACCGCCAAAACCACCACCAGCAACCACCATTCCTGCCAACGGAATTTGAAGAATCGCGATCAATCGATTAACTTGGAAGAGCGACAATATTCGAGTTTGGTGAGGCCCAAACAACGGAGTCCGGTGCTGTGCAACAAATGTGCGCTGTGACGAAGATACAATCTGAGCTGTGAGCACCCGAAAACCACAGGGAAACATCAGGAAACAGGCACCACCAACACGAACGCCATTGAGAACAGCACAACCATTCAAAAGGACAACACGAGCCAGCCGAAGGCAGAAAAGGATTTAAATCACACTCCTAGCTATTTGTGCCACGAGTGCCGTTTCAATAATCAGCCATTGGCCTGGTGGGTCTCATGTCCCCGGCTCTCCCACTTACCCACAGCCACTACTGCTGCTGCTGCTGAGCAAACGAAAATGCAGTCCACGGCCACGCCCACCCGCCATTGTGGAGGCGTTGGAGGTGGCACCAGCACTAACACCACAACACCGCCCACTCTACCGCGCTTTCCCAGCAAACGGCATTGTGACAATTTTGGTAGCTATGCCACATTGCCCACCATTGAGCAGCAGCAGCAGCACCAACTGCCCCACTGCAGCCGACACGGAGGAGGAGGAGGAGTTGGAGGTGGGGTTGTAAGCTCTGGGGTAAGCGGCGGTGTAATGCCAGCCCCACCACCCCCACGCTACGCAAATCCCAATTTGAATGGCTGTTGTTATATGTACAACCCCATGCCCACCCACCATCAGCAGCAGCAACAACAACAGCAGCAGCACCTTCAGCAGCACCACCACCTCCAGCACCAGCAACAGCATCAGCACCACCCCCACCAATATGCCCCGCCGCAATATTGCCTCTGCGATAATTGGTACCATCAGTCGCAGCAGCAGCTCCACCAGCAGCACCACCAACAAAGGAGCAAGCCCCTTTTGGCCAACGGCGGCTGCTACTACGGTAAGTACACTCTTAAAAAATATATATACTAAACAAGGAAGCCATAAAATATTGGGCAATTAAAAAATCCAGCACCTACTTAACTTGCAAATTTATTTCCTGGCCATCTAGAAAGTGAGCATCTAGTTTGGGAAAAACTATGCCTGGAAATTTAAAATTCAATTTGTGGCCAGAACGGAAATTGGCTCTTTAGACGAAGTTGGCTAAAAACTGGGCCAACTAAAAGCGAAAATAATTATTAATGGAAATTTATATTCAAGTGTTTAATTTTTGCTGACAGAAGAGCGCTTTGACAGAAACCAGGCTATTTCGTCCATCATTTAATCAGCTCTCGATTGTTTTTCCATTCGCAGGCTATGATGGCCATCACGCGCTCCAGGCACCACCGCCGCCCCATCCCAGCCACATTACGGACGAGGAGGATTCGGCGTTTCCCGGATTGGCCGATCGAGAGTTCCACCTGCTGCACCGGAACATCCCGGCGCTGCGTCGCACTGGCGTGGACACCACACGCATTAGACAGGTGAGAACCGGATGGAGCCCTTTCGGGAAAACCCCACCTATAGCCCAACGTGGAACCACCTTCTTTCTGGTGCTTGTCAAACTTTAATTGCCCCTCTTTGTGCGTCTCGGTTTTTGTATTTTCAGTACTTTTATCCCGACGGTGGCTGGGGCTGGATCATCTGTGGTGTGTCCTTTCTTGTCCACGTCCTGACCACAGGACTGCAGCTAAGCTACGGCCTTTTGTTGTTCTATGCTGTTGAGTATTTGCATAATGCCAGTGGAGTAGGTGAGTTCAAAGACAGCAATGGAGGGGAGCATTGGTCTGGTATGTCCTTGTTCGGAATGCGTTATCAAAGACAACGTAGCCTGTTGTTATTTTCCAGTTTTGCCTTTTTAGTTTTCCTGACCATTTGTGAGTCGGAGGACCTCCTCCTAACCTGCATCTGCACCTCTACCACCCATCGAGAGTAATCAAAATGTTTGTCAGTCTGTTTGTGGGCTTGTTTGAAAATGCAAATGCCTCAATTATACACACATCCACATGTGTACACATATTTTCAGGTGTGGACTTTGGCATAAATTTCATTGGCACTTGACAGTGCCGACATAATTTAAGAATAGTGTGAATTTAGTTTATGGTTTCAAAGCGACCACAGGCTGAGATTAAATTGTAAACAGGATAGTGTTAATATTTCAAACAAATGCGTGTCTTTGCATATAATTCTCATATTTTATATGGCATGAATGCAACTATTGCTTTTCTCTTTAACTATATTTATTCATTTAATAAATGATGTTTATAAATACCATTTAAACTCTTGTCTATCTATTGACGTAAATCTACCGAAAACATTTTAAAATATTAACGAAAAGCCAACACCTTCCTAAAACGTGTTAATACCCACCTGCCATCAATAAGTTGCCCTCACGACCTTCGTCAAGTTGACTTTTCCGCTTTAAAATATTATCACTCAAGAGCTTAATTTCACTTTCCACAGAACTGCTGGGTGCCCTGAGCTGGTCAGTTTCCATGGTGGCCACATCGTTTGTGGTGTCCCTCTGCCGTAAACGCTCCATCCGTCTCCTCTCCATTGTGGGTGGCCTGGTGATGCCCCTGGGCATACTGTTCACCTCATTTGCCACGGAATTTGGCCAGGTTGTTTTCAGTTATGGTGCGTATATAGTACATATATAAATAAATAACCTGCCAGCTGCCAGTTAGTCGGCACCGGAAGTCGCTCCACAGCACTGAGGGAAAACCAATCGACTTTTTTATATTGTAACATCAAGTCTCACACTCCCCTCAATCGAAAAGGGAACAAGACTAATTAAAGGAGCGCTTAATCTTGGGCAAAATCTGAAAAGAGGAATTCGATTTCCACATTTATTTGTCGGTGGTTTTCCCTCAATGTAGCAAGGCAAGCGAGTGAAAAGCCACCCGTAAGCCATCCAGCTTGAAGGCGCCTAACAGAAACACCATTCAAAACACATCCCCAGGCATCGTCTTCGGCGTGGGTGTGGCCATGGTCCGGGAGGCATCCACCGTGATGCTGGGCAATTACTTTAAGCGGCGCCGTCAATTCGTCGAGATGGTGGCCATGTCCGGTGAGGGAGTGGGCATCGCTTTGTTCTCCGTCATTTTGAAGGAGGGCGTGGGCAAGGCCGGCTGGCGCCTCGGCCTCCAAATCGTGGCAGCCCTGACGGCCCTTAGCTTCTTCATGGGCCTAATGTACCGGCCCGCCTCCCTCTACCATCCCCAGCGCCGGGCCATTCAACATCTTAAAAATCAGCGCAAAAAGGTGAGCCAGTCCCCGAAAAATAAAAAGTTTATTTCCCACATCGTGCCCAAAAATGTGAACTTTGTTGCCTTCCAGATGCGAGAGAAGAAACCAATCCTCAGCCAGGAGGTGGAGAGCACACCTAGATACTTATTTTTGGACATATCATCACTGAAGTCGGTGACTGTTAAAATTTTACTTATGACCTCCAGCGTGGCCTCCTTTGGCATTTACACACCCATGTTCCTAATGGTGCGTTTACCACTCAATTTATCTTCATAATTTGGCCAAGTGCTTTTAAGGATAATGCATTTAATAAAGAATCTTTAGTCTTTAAAGAATCTTAAGTCTTTCTATCCTTAAAGAAAGCATTAGTTTCTCTCTAACTTTTTATTACCATAGTACCGGGTATTGTTACTAATTTATTTGATTTATTTCCCCCACAGGCCCTCAACGCCGCCGAGCAGGGCTCTGACGTACAGGAGTTGGTCCTTCTGCAAACTTTCCTAGGAATTTCCATGGCCCTGGGTGTGGTTATAGCCGGAGCCCTGCTTAGACGCTGTTTTGTGATTAGGCACTTTGTGATCAATACGAAGATTGTCACCCAGGCAAGTCATGGACCATTATTTTTTTGCCCTTATTCCGACAAAGTTTGTTTAATTTTGTTTGTTTTCTCATCTGTAGCTCTTTATCTCCATTGTGGCCTTGGCTATCCTTTTTCTGTCCTTTGTCATGGGCTACACAGGACTCTGCATACTGAGCTGGCTGTACGGCATAGGCTTGGGTGGCTTTCAGTACTCCCTCAAAATTTTGGCCCTTGAACGCATTAAGCTGAAGCACTTCTCCAAGGCCTGGGGTGAGTGGTTGTGGGCTTTTTAAAAATTTAAATTATTGATTTAATGGCTTCCGTAATGCTTATGTTTTTCCTTTAAAAGGTTTCATACGTGGCGTGGAGTCGGTTCCTGTGCTGATAAGTGTGCCACTCACATCGTTTCTGAATGATTACTCCCTTAAATACGGTCGAGCTGGTTACTATATATGCTCGGCGGCAGCGGCTATCTCGGGAATTATTATCTTTTTCATAAGCGAACCGCAGCATCAGCAGCAGCATCATCAGCAGCAGCAACAGCAGCAGATGCATCATCATTATCAGCACAGAAATGGTCACTTACCGACGCCCATGCTGGTCCGCCACTCATCCGCGCGCCAGCACCGCCCACACCTGCCTCCGTTGGACTACGGTTACGGGGAGTACCCAGCACCGGATCTCCTCAGTCGCAGTTGCATTAGCCTCAATCAAATGGAACCCTATCTGCAGACCAACTATTGCCAGCGTCACATGTTGCAGCAACACCAGCAACAGCAACAGCAGCAACATTCCCACCTGCAGCAATTGGCCTGCCACAATCTGGATGTACAACAGCAGCAGCAGCATCAGGTATTCAATCACTCAGAAAAATAATAAACAAAATATATTATAAAGTTTTTAAGTAAATGTATTTTTTGCAAACGACTTATTATAGGTTTCATTACCCTTTCGAAAGAATAAACCCCTACTTTTCTCTCTCTGCAGGTAAGAGGAGCCTATCAATTGGGACAAGGCAGCATTGGAGCCAGGATGGGGAAGCGTTTGCAGCGCAGCTTGTCCTTCATCCAGCAGCACAACTGCTGCGAGGCGCAGAACATGTACTGCAGCTGGCACAGCACCTACGAACTGGGCTGCCACAAGAGCAACAAGTAAGTAGACAGGCGGCAGTCAGCCATGGAGATCCCTAATCGCACCCCGTGTGTCCAGTTCCCGTGTGCAACGAACAGCTTAAGTCCTGCTCCTTTCTGCTGTAATTGAATAGCAAATCAAAGTTCAGTTTGAAATATCCTGGTGAATGTTTTACATTTTAAGTTGCTATCAGAACGAGCAGCTTAAAAAGGCTAAAAGGGCAAAAACTAGGGATAACAGATAAGCATATATAGATATATTTTTTCAGGAGGTAACAAATTCCAGTTTATTTATTGTACATTTTAAAATAAATAATTCATCAGACATTTTTTCATACCAAGAGTATTTTTACGACTTTATTGAAAGGTTGCATTTCCATTTCCATTACATTGACAATAATTTATTATTTTGTGAAAATTAAAGCTTAAATAAATGCCACGGCAATAAAAAATCATTAGTCAGGCAATAATCTAAATTTAAGTTTCATCGATGATTTTAAATGAAATTTTATTTGTGAGCTATTGATTTTCTATGCTAATAATGGCCATGAAAAAAGGCCAATGTTTAATTTGACTTTTCGTTCGATGGCTTAGCAATTAAAATCCTGAATTTCATTGGCCACAAAAATAGATTTATTTGCATAAAATGTATCCGAAATAGGCGAAAATTGAAGTAAACAAAATCGAGTGCGCAAATCTGTGTGAAATCAAAAACCAATTAAAAGATTTCCCGCCGAGAACAAAACAATCAACGGCAATCAGGCCGGGAAGCCCTAGAAAGACAATCAATTTCGTGGCGGCTCTTGGAGTCGCCTACTTGCTCATGCCGTTACACACTTTGGCCATTTTGCCGTTCTACCATTTTGCTGTTTTGCCACTTTGCCACGCACACACATGCCACACTCATAGCGCCCTCATACCACACTCATGCCACATACCACGTGTTGACACACTCTGGCCTAAACCTTGGAAATTGACTTGCCATTGCAGGTCCCCGGCCCTGGACAGACAGCCATTGATATGCACCTGCAGCAGTCCGAATAACAATCCAACCACCTACGGACCCACCACCGCCACCACCCACTCCACCCGGAGTCGCAGCGTTCCGGAGGGTCTCTCCACGATGTCACAGCAGTGTAACTGCCGGCACGGCTCGGGAACCACCATTCCGGGTCTGGGACAGGGACCGGGATCGGGACCCACGCGGGAGTTCATCTACGTGCCACATGCCTATGCCTCGTTACAAAGGACCCCCACCCACCGTCAGCGGAGTGGCGAGGCGGGCAGCTTAGGGGCCGGTGGTGCTTGCTCGGCAATGCGGAGCAATCCACAGTGCCGGCTGAAGCGCTCCCAATCCCTCTGCCGACCCACAGCCGTGCAGTTTGTGGAGCAAATCACCACGTCCGTGTAAGAAAAGAGGCGGTGAAAAGTGCACTCGGAAAAATTATGGCCTTAGACTACATAATTTATTAGTTTAAATGCCAGCTAGAAAAATATTTTTTACTTTATTAAAGAAGACTATTTTATTTAAAAGTCCTGCAAACTATAATACTCTTAAATGGTTTTAATTTTCTAATCTCAGGTTTCAAGTTTAGAAAAATATTGAGTATATGTATGAAATTAATAACTACTGCAAAATATTTAAGAATTTAAATATAACCAATTAAAAATCTAGAGAAGTATTGAATCTATTTGAAAAAAGAAGACCTATTTTTCCGAGTGTTACTAAGCCCATAAAAATGTGAAATATTCCCCGCAACAATTGGGTCCTATAGACTTATATTTTGGTATTATAGTCACACACCCACACACGGCTACGTGAATCGCATGCAGAATTTGTCAGATCTCCTCTAGTCTTTTGTCGTACTAGCTATATTAGAAATGTAAAGTTAAAAACTCCAACTGAATGAAGTCGAAGGTGTAACTGAATACCCACAACACCCACAACACTCTATGAATTTGTGCGCTCGTTAAAAAAGAAAACATTAAACTTTTATACAGACATTAAGCTAGGATGAAATTTTTACTCATTAGAATATTAATATTTTATAGAGATTACAGACAGACAGAAAAGCTTTACCAATGTCTCAACCAGCACAAAAACGAATAAGAAATAAGACATTAGAAAGTATTCAAATTGTGGCCAAAATGCATAAATATTTATGAGATTTTTCAATAGAGCGGAGCTGAGAGAAGTAAGAAACGAACAGAAATCCAACAAACTTCTTAAATGGTCCATTTTATAAACGTGCATACAATTTAACCACCGAATACCGATTACCAATATATATACATATATATATTTAAAGATATGTACATGGATATTAAGTCGATCCAATTACAGGGCTCGCTCCCCAAGGAAACGAACGGCGGAATTGTCCTGCTGTGTCAAGTGCCGAGTTTTCTGTGTCGGCGAATTACTTTATTTTTCAATAACACATATATATTTGTATATTGCATAATTAAGAGGCGTTTAACGGGGGAAAACAATGCAAACGACGCCAAACGGAATGGAATAAAATTAAAATGAAAATGAATATTACTTTCGCCACGACGAGTGAGTGAGCCTTATTTTCCGATCGAAATGAAACGTATGAAATAATAATGAGAACCATTATGATGGCCATAATTAATTGAGAACTTAAATGTGAAGTGCACAATTATCAGAGGAAATGCGGTCGGCCCTGAGGTCATCCCAAATAAATTACAAAAAAATACAAATAAAGACCATAAATTATACCACGAATGCTAATTTGTAAATCATTAGGAATTTATTAAAAAACAGCGCACCCCTCTCTAAACAAAAGTTAATCTTTTAACAAACAGGAAATTTATAACACGAGGAGTTATCATAAACTATGAAAACGGAAATAAATCAACATGAAAAAAATACACAAAGTCTGCAATAAAATAAACAATTAAAATAGTAAACGTAAACAAAAATAAACAAAAATATTCAATGAGAAAAAAATAACAAAGACTTTGTAACAATATGTGGTGTACTGAATGAAAATTTGTAAAAGCCAATTATATAAACGTAAAAGGTTTTCCCAATCGATTGGAAAATGAAACCTATTTCCCGCATCTCAACTCTTTTGTGTATAAATTCTAAAATGAAATCTTCACCGAGCACTAAATATAAATGGACTCGAGCCAAAACAACTGCCATAAAAATGCAATAAAAGGACACATTTACATACTAAGTACATGTATCTAAAAACATTTTTTCTCTCTTTCAAAAGCATTTAAATAAATTAGGCATAAATTTCAACTCAATACATTTTCACTCTCCAAAATTTTTCGCCACTTGTGTTCAGCGAAAACAAAAATTTACCATAAAATAATAATAATAATACCTACACAAGCATATCCATGTGCCACAAATAAAAACATAAAATTATAAACTATTAGAAGTTTTGTCAAAGAGAACTAACCAACTTAAGGTACAACTTGTAGCTAAATAAAAATTTTTATCTGATGGATACAGCCCATGATTTAGATACGTGAAATTTTTCAGAGAAAAACAAAACACCTACGGCTAGAAGAAAACTCATTATTGTAACTCTTTATCATTAGTAGTTTAGTGCGATAAATGTTAATAAAGAAACCATAAACGAAATCCCATTCAATTCAATTCAATTTGTGTCTCAACTTTGAAAGCCGGTCAGCCGCAAAAGTGTCGTGTAAGCTCAACGTTTTAACCCCAAAACTGCCAAAGTGGCAACGGAAAGGATATCATTCGATGTCGTCCGTATAATAAACTTTTCATTTATTACGTGCTAAAATTTAATAAACAGGTTTAAGAACCAGCAACCGCCCAGCAGCAATGTCATATTTCATTTATTAATTAATGGCATTAACATAAAGCGTCAATTTGTGAGGCCAAAATCACATAGAATCCCATGCCATTCCATTCCGTATCCATAAAAAGGACGCAGCCTGGTGCCGGGGGGAAGCAGCACTCTAAAGCCGGGGCGATTAAAAAGTTTACCCTAGCCTTAACCAAAGTCAAGACTGGCCCTTAATGTTGCATATATTGTGTGTGCACATAACCCCGGGGTCCCCATTACGGGACGTGCCTAGACTGTAAACAGTCGCCCGGAGAGAGGCCGCAGACACTCGGCACATATAACAATTCCGTACAGCGTCAATGACATGCTCAATTTTTCATGCATTATGCTGGGTTGGGACGAGCTGGGACGGGCAACAGTGCGTATGCTTGATATTTGCCTCATATCGAGCCGAAAGCACATTTAAGCCGCCAAAAGCTGAAACTGAATATTTGCGTAGCAGGCGCTGTGAGGGCGAGAAACTTTACAGAATTCCAAATGGAGACCATGGCCAAAAAGCCATAAGACAATTTGCTGCCAGCTTACATTGGTTGCACGGGAAAAAAAACTATACAAATTTAAAATCTGATTATGGGCCTAAATAAGAAGGTAAAGCTAGGTATAGTCTTTTTATAGGATATAGGCTATAGGATCTTCTATTCCAGTTGCCTTAAATAAATCAATCTTTAACTTCAATTAAACTTGTTTTTTGTAATACCTGTTCATTATTTACAGTGTATCCATACTAACTCATAGATATCCCAACACAACTCAGCACACACACTCACGTTCACCCAAAGATGAGGTCTATCTTGGGAATATGGGATATAGGCCGTGGCAAGGGGATGATTTCGTGGCTGTTGGAATTGTGGTCTCTGAGCAAACACCGTGCAACGGAAACTATCGTCTTCTATATTGAGGAAATGGCAACGGCAGCGGTCTGTGGATTTTGGGTTACATAACTGATTAAAGATTGGCCTAGCTTACGGGATATACATAATACTCTCGTACAGATGTGGTAAGCAAGATTGCGAAAGGGCCACAACCTCTCCTGTCAACTTGTTGACTAAGCAAAGTTGGCCTTATATGAGTTATGATTTACTCAGCTCTTAAAAAGGCAAAACAATGATGAAGAGGAATCGGCTATCAACGCCTCTTATTTATTTAGTTTATTCCAGAACTAACAAGAAAGGAAGGCCTAATTCGGGGGAAGTCATTTGGGGGACTGGAATACACATTTAGACATTTAGACATATCTTAGTCTTTTCTCAACTGATTTTAGAAAGGGTTGCTTTTCATGAATCAAAAGTTTCTTCCCTTTAATCTTCATATAATGCTAAAAATGGGACAAACTTTTCCAAAATTTAAAAAATCGGCTCATATTTTTTATGGTGAGTTTTTAATAAGAACTTAAAGTATTAAAAAATATAAGATCGGGAAGATATAACATTCATTGATTTTCCGAGTAAAGACAAAGTTATAAATAATTCCCCGAAATTGATTGGAATTTTTTCCAATCTAAGAGGTGTTTGGCCAAAAAGCAAACTTTTAAATACTTTTCAGCCAATATCTCATCCATACTGCAACCGATTTTAAAAAAGGAATACCATTTTTTGAACCCTAGTTTTAGCCGCCGTGCATATTCATTAAAATATTGTAAAAATATAACAAAGAAATTTTGGTCAATTTTTTGGCTAAAATCGTGATGTTACCCCTTTCAAAAATTACGAAAATAGAAAAATTTTCGATTGCTTGTTTTTAAAAAAGAATAATAGTTCTCGAAGATCTAAGATTAGGAAGGTATAACATTGGCCGATCTACCAAGTATTGAGCGAGTTATGATCATTGGTCATATTTTATAGAGTTCGAAGAGGATTAAAGGCTCGATTTAAAAATGGTGTTCTGGTTTATAATCGGATGCAAGATTTCTCACCTTTCCCATTTAAAAGAGGTTCAAAAGTTACCATTTTGTTCAACTTTTGGCCGTTTCAGGTCTGGTAAGTTTGGTTTAAATTCTTTTGTTTTATAAAATAAACCTAAAAAATAATAAACTACAACACAAAACATCCTATAAATCAAAATTCCTACATTTACGGTACAAAATTTAAGATTATCACTTCCTTAAAGAACCACAATAAATTTAGTCCTGGTCATTGTAGTCCTTGCCTGTCCTTGCCACCACCACCACCTCCCTCCCCTACCTCTCATTAAAATGAATCTTCAAACGTTTTATATGTGTCCTAATGCCATAAAGCAGGCCAAAATTCGTGGTTAGCCGGTAACTGTTGTAATTTTGTTATGAGCCAGAAACTCAGACCCTCAATTGGAGTAACCGCCTAATTCCACCGGCTCCCCTAAAAGTATGCTTTAGCAAAATTTCGGTGTAATTTAGTTGAAAGATATTCGGCAGCGTGGCAGCAGCTATAGCTATGGCTTCCGTTTGGCTTTGTTCTTTCATTTTGTGTGTGGCAGATATCTCAAGCAAATTAACCTAACTACTCTTAATGCCAGCCTGCTATCCTGCCTTCCTGCCAACTCCACTTTGGCCCCATACACACGAAAACCAATTAAATTCTTCCGCAAGGGCATAAAAGCTTCGTCGTTCTTTCGATTAAAGCTTTCTCAGAGTGTGTGTGTGTGTGGGTGTGTGTGTGTGAGAGGATATGAAGAATCGTGCAACATTTTGTTAGACAAGTTGAATTTTTTTTCGGTTGCTTTTTGTTTTGGGCTTTTTTTTTTGTGCCTTAAAGCCAGACAGGCGACGGGCTGCCATCATCGTGTGAAGTCAAGTTTTCTGTGGACGCCTCGAACGCGTTTCTAAGTGAAATTTAGCCGAAGGCTACGTGATGTAGCTGCTGGATGCCATAGCTGCATGTCCTGGCCGACTGTCTGCCTTGTTGACAAACGTCCTGCCGACTCTGCCGCTGCTCCTGCTACTACGGCTGCTGCTGCTGCTACTATGATGCCGCTGTCTCTGCTTCAGTCGACGTCTCTGCTGACGCCGTCATGCGCAAACGCACGCTCTGTTGCCTACTTCCAGGCTGCCCAGTTCTGTTCATTGTTGCGCTTTTACAGTCTCCAGAACACAGTGGTCCGGCTTGTATGAAGAGAGCGGCCAAAAATACTTCTAGTTGAGGTAGGGACTGGAAACTTGGCACAAAATATTTATATTTTTGTTCTAAAATAATATGTTAAAATCAGCCAGATCGGGCAACTATATCATATAGCTGCCATATAACTGATTGATCGAAAATGCTATAACTTGGGTGTTTTTACAGTTAGAGAGAGTTTACAGTTAGAGAGTTTTTGTAAGAATGCTATATTTGACAAAATAACACGACCTACCAAATTTCATAAGGATCAGCCGACTATATCTTATAGCTGCCATATAACTGATTGATCGGGAATGTTATAACTTCGGTGTTTTTAAAGCTAGAGAATTCTGATTTGGTACGAATGCTATTTTTGGGAAAATAATTCAACATGCCAAATTTCATAAGGATCAGCCGACTATATCCTATAGCTGATATATAATTGAAAAAACGGAAATTACCCAACTTTCATGTTAAGATGGTGTTAGTATTTTTACGATATTAGACACATAGGCAAATTTTGGCAAAAATTCTTGCACATTTGTTACCCTTGGAGACCGACAAACACATTGGTATATAAACGAATTGTAGAATTTTGTGGGATCACTACTAAAACTTCAGCTAAACATGAAAAATACGTTCAAAATATAGGAAAAAAACATGCATTAGTTCATAGTATGATAATAATAACAATAATTATTATTAATATATCAAATTGTATCTCATTTTATAGAAAATACCTTCAACTTCAAAATCCATTACAAATAATTTGAATTTGAACACGTAAATAATGATCTGACCACTTCAAAGTGCGGTTTAGTTGTGAAATATTCGTGATGCGCGCAGCCGCGCTTTACAAATGAGCATCTTCAGTGGCGGATCTAGAATTGCTGGCGCCCGGGGCAAAACGAAAAATTTGCGCCCCCCCCCTCCCTCTCTGCTATATGAACGCGTTAATTTTTTTTTATATGAATAAAATTCAAAGTATTTTGGGTGTGTAAAAGGTTATATCATCTAAAGCTTATAGGTATGAAGAATTATATTTCATTTTTATTCTTTCGTTAGATGCATCATAAAAATACATTAAATGTTGTGTTTTTGTATGAAAACAAAATATTACTTCTGTAATATAACTTTCCTGGCCTTGGTTGCCGCAAATTCAGCAATAATATCATTGTAATCGAGTGATGCTGCTACATCATTTTCGATGGAAAGTATTGCCAAGTTTGATAGCCTGTCTTGGTTCATGGTTGTGCGGAGATAAGATTTTATTAGTTTCAGTTTACTGAACGATCGCTCACACGAAGCCACGGACAATGGTAGAGTCAGCAACATTTTCAAAGCCGTCACAAGTGTTTTGTACGCCTCTAACCCCAACGATGAAATGTATAATAATATTCCTTTTGGAGTGAGGTCGAGAGTTTCTCCATTTTTATTGGCTCTTTTCAGGAGAAAAATGACATCTTTAATATCTTCAAACAATTCCCTCCCGTTTAAATCGTTGGAATAGATTTCGGCTAATGATTTGCACTTATCGTTAACTTCCAACAGTTTTCTATCTAAAATTTCTTTATCGTCACCGAGATATTCTTTGAAGTCGAAGAAAAATCCGAAGCGCTCATTCAGCACCCTCAAGTTAGCGAAGCGAGTAGAAACTTCGATCGAAAGGCTGTCCAAAATTTCAACCAAAAAGCGTCTTGTTTCTTGGTAGGTATCGAGAGCAGCCCGATGAAACACTATAAAAGAAAAACCCTACCTTAAGGTTATGTGTAAATGGATGTGTTCTCAGAGCTTTAGCCCCGCACATATATACACATATATGGCGCAGATATGCCCTACGCCAGTGCCTTTTAAAATTTATGTTCGAAAATGTAAGCAAACGCGCTCATAACCTAGCAACTCACAATTTCTCCAAGAAAGAAATTCCTGGAAATTACTGTTATGACGTTTGCTGTTATGACGTACGTTTCGAGCGCCTCGTTTCCTTGTGATCACATGTCTCGAAACACTCAGCACTTGTGTTAGTGCGTGCCCACGTGCGTAGCGCCGCGGGAAAATATGAATTCTCGAAACATACAGTGTTAGCCGAGCTCGATTTAGCGCCCCTTCGGGACTTGGCGCCCGGGGCGCTTGCCCCTTTCGCCCCCCCCTAGATCCGCCACTGAGCATCTTCAAATCATTTTTTAGAAAATCCAGTTAGATTTTTAGACAAATCTGGTTTGTCATGTAGAAGCTTGGACATTTTAGAGGCGATTTGTTTACTTTTCAATTATTTTTGTCGTTATCAATTTTTTTATTTTTGGCCTATGAGAGCAACCACTGTGCAGAATCCCCCCCCTTGCCAAAAAAAAAACCAAAAACAACACAAAACCCAACCCCCTTTACGCATCAGATGCCAAACATCTGTTTTATGTTTGCCTTGCTTCCAGGAAAATTCTCTTAATTTTCCACACAGACAGGCAGCAGCGAGAGCGGCTCTCTGACGGTGTGCGTCGGAAAATGTCAAGTCAGAGTTTCAGGCTCGGTTTCAGTTCCAGCATCAACGCCAGCGCGTACGGAGCGTCCTGTGGAGACGGAAAAGCAGCCGTGAAGCTGTCACGCAGCAGCACACACACACTCGCACGCAGCACCAGCAAAGGAGAAAACGGAAAAACGGATTTTATTGAAAACAGCCAACTCAGCGCATTTTAATTAACAATTAACAAACGAATGCTGGAGGAAACTTTTCCGAAAAAAACCCCTACACACACCGAATGTGAAAGAAAAGCAATACGCAATGCTCTGAAAACGTAAACTCTGCGCTTTTCCTACGGCCTTTCCTTGGGTTTTTTGGCCAGCGCGAATATCGATTGCTGACTGCCTTGCATAAGTCCAGAGAGATTAGTATACAAACGCAGTCAAAACTGTCTGAAGCCCAGGTATAAAAAAGTCACAAAAACCATCTGAAAGGAGTCAGAAAGGACAACGAATTACAGAAAATAGATCTTGGAGTGCAACTACATCTACATCTAGTAATTAAGTTTTTTTTAATCAACCGAAATGGAGCAGCTGAAGCCAAAAGATTTCAAAGCCTGGCCCAGACAATTGACACGTTAAAAGCGAAAAACAACGAGGCGAATGAGCAATATATATATGTATAGAGAGAGATTTATATAGAAGTTGAGTTCAGCGAATATCTGTGAACGGGTCTATTCTAGTATCCTGTGTGCTTGTGTGTGCTTGCCCCTGTTTCGCTTTTCTTTTCCATTTTATTTCCTTTGTTGCTGTTTGTTTGTTACGCTGAAAATGGATATTGCCTTGCGTGGCACAGCATCAACGACTGGAACTGGCACTGGTGAGTCCTTGAGAGTCCTCCGTTGCCTCTGAGCCTCCAACTTGGCAGTTCAAAGACACATAATCACATCTTTTATGTACGCCATGTTTTATTCGAATGCCAAATAAAACAAAAAAACATTTCATTTACAGGTCTACATCATGCTGTGTCATTGGGCAACATTGAGGTCTCCGCGAAGGTTAGTATCCCCAGTACAGGAACAGAGCCAACAGGACCACAAAGTGTGCGGCGAATAAAATTAATTTTAGTGTCGGCACAGGCGTCCAGGGAATAGGCATTTAAGTGACAGCAGTAGCATCGCTGTCATAACGAATGATTGACACAATTATTTAACTACAAATCTGACGGACGGAGAAAATCTTCCCTTTTAATGGGAAGACAGTAAAAGACGGCATTAAAAGATCTTTAGACATACTTAAACATTAAACTAGAAAATAAATTGGTTATTAGCTTGAAAGGAAACCATTCAGAGTATTTAGAATGCCAGCATGGCGTATGAGTAATTTTTTTAGGGCAATATGCATTATATAAAAGGGCAACATAAGGAATAGGCTGAAAAAATTAAATTATAATAATTAATATTATAATAATTATTAAAAGTAGTATTTCAAACAAAGACAAGATTCTAAAGATTTAATTTTTTTTTGTCAACATGGCGTATGAGTAATATTTTATATCGTATTACGTATACTCGAAAATTTGAATAGATAGAGTTAATTATTGTACTAATATTTTATTATTATTTTTCTATAATTTTATTTTACCACTTTCAGAGCACTTACTCCAGCCATATAGATAGAAGTTACGATTCCGAAGACGAACATACTAGTCGCCGAAGACTCCGCCACACACTCTCCACCGAGTTACAGCCTCGCACTTCCGTTTACTCACGCGGAGATATTAGGGAACAGGTAGAGTTTCTTAAAACTTTATATATTTTTTATTATTAATTATATTATTACATTTATTTAGTACTGCCTCACAGATCGCCAGTTGCATAGCATAGAGCAACGACCTAGGAGGGAACGATTCTTTGGCTGCCTTTCTCGGAGAGGACAGACCCAGTCGGGAAGTTTTTTGGGCGGTTGTGTGGGTCGACGAGTGCCCTCTGATGAAAATCTAGCAGCCTATGCTCCATTTGAAAAATATCCACGGTTGGTAGATGAATAGTTTCGTAAAAATTAATGTAAAATATTTATTTTTTAGCTATCAGAACAACTATACTGACACACACGATATGGATAGTTCCTATTTTCGACGTCAGCCGGCTTCCATTTTGAGTACCGGTAAATCGAGTGATACGGATTCGGGAGGACGCTACAGCTGGATAGGTCAACAGCAACAACAACAACAGCAAGTGCAAATGCAACAAACCAACAACAACACCGACTATCAAACGGACCACAGGTATGTTAAGTAAAGTATGGAAAAATAAAATAAAATAAACAACATGAACAAAACCAAAAGTACCAAAAAAGAACCTAAATTAAAAATCTAAAAAAATGCTATGCCAACTGTCGCTTAGATCATGCTTTACTGTCGCACTATCTGTAGTCACTATTTCTACTACTATCGCCACTCGCTATATACCTCTCCAACCAACTCTTCCGATGTACACACTGTAATGTATATATATTATATATGAATATGGTATAATGCTTGCAATGCCTGCCCATTCATCCAAAAATCGAACCCACACAGCGCCTTCTAAACTCATCCGTCTGCATAATGCCACTAATGCTTCTTGCCACTAAACTCTTTTTGCGATTGCCACCCAAAAAATGAACCACCAACTAGAAATGCTGTATAAAAATACTTTTTTCGTGTACTCTTTCGTTATTCATCCACCTATCCTTTTCTCCTAACCAAAAAATCAATAAAAACCGACTGTAAATCAACCAAAAAAACCTACCAATTTGCCAAAAATTAAAAATTGAAAAAAACAAAAATGTATGAAAAATATCCCACCCCACCAAATACTAAATGAAATGATCAAAATGTGTAAAGGGCAACTTGTTGTACAGCACCACTTGAATCCTTTTACCAGGATGTTTTGCTACGGAATTATTATGTCGAGCTTTGCGCTCCACCAAATCCTACACCACCAACATCACACACCAATCAAATCGCTAATCTAAATGTTTGGTATGTAAAGTGATATTAAACTAACAAAACTATTTAAATAAGATATATATATATATATTTATATATATTATATGTTCAAAAGCCAAAAGAACCAGAATATTAAAAACATTTTATTAAAAACAGTGCGCTAAAGACAATTGTTTGATTTTATGTTATGTGACTGCACGTGACCAAAGCAAAAAAAAAAAAATGAAAATAATTAAATAAAATTAAAGATATTGTTTGTGGTTGCATGACTTTGGAAGTTGGAATTCGGCTAACAAGTCTATGAATTGCTTACTCCACAGCTCGTATCACTGCCCCACGTACGCCACCATGCCGACGACGCACCACCACCACCAGCACCACCAGCAGCCTGGTAGTAGTGTCAGGTAAGCTCCTAGGGGATTATCCCCACCCTGAGGAACCTCTGAGGTCCTTGACAAATCAATCCCTTGCAGGACCAAGCACGTAAGCTTCGCCAGGAGCCACACTCTGACCAGCTTCGACAACGTCAACGCCGGATTTAGATCTTCGGGCCGTTTGAAGTCGGCCAACAGCCAGGAGCGACTGATTGGGGGCAAGAAGCCGATTATTGCCACAGGATCCATGTACGAGACACTGCAGCCCACGATGCCGAATCCGCAACAACAGACGCAACCGCCCCAGAGCTCCACGCTGCCGAAAACCTGGCTGCCGCCTCCAGTTCAGCTCCAACCATGCCATCACCATGGACCCATACACCTGCATCAGCCAATACCAGGTGAGCGTACCTCCCAGAGATATCCTTTCATTAATTAATGGCGTTTCCTAGACAACATGGTAGGCCTGATCATCCCACAACCCCTGCCCCTGGCTATGCCGCTGCCACTGCCCAGTCCCGAGGTCCTGATTGTCGAAAAGAAGTTCCGAAACGCCATGAAGACCCAGGCCACTCAAACGGACGTGGCTGCCCGTCGCCAAGAGGGCTATAATACCCAGGTGCTGGCCCTGAGTCCCCGGCCGCCCCATCGCATTAAAGTGGTGTCGCAGGGGGCCCAGACCAATGGCCTGCAAAACGGCAAAAAGCTCACAAAAAGCCTCTCGGAGATACCGAACGGCAAGGATGTGCAATCATATCATTATCCTCAGAGGTGAGTTAATGAGCTCTAGCTTAAAAATTAAATTATTAATTAAAAATGCCTTTTAAGTTCCATGTATCCCCACGAGATGATCTACCGCACTCAGTCGCAGGATGTGGTTCCGCTGCAGACCCTCTCCGACGCCCAGAACAACATAATGTACTACAAGCCGCCGCCCCCGCTCCTGGATGCCCATAGCTATGGCCTGGGAATGGAGCACCTGAGTCGGGGCCGGCCATCGCCCTCTGTGGAGAACGTGGAGTACGTGAATGTAAATGCCGCCGCAGTGGCGTTAAATGAAAGCTTCGACTACGAGAGCAACAGTTTGCCTCGACGAGCTTGTACCTCGCATGTCCGCACCGAAACGGACTACTATTCCAACAGCTTGCCGAGGAAGCCGGAGAATCTGCACACCCACGACGTCTGTAAGCACATCACCGAGTGCTCGGAGCTCATCAACGACACTGTTCCTCTGGACTTTACCCAATCCCATCTACTGCCACCGCCCAGCGAGTATTGCAAGAACGACGACGACGTGGAGTACTACGACGACGATGAGGATCCGCCCCACGAGACCGAGAGCTACAGCTCAGAGGTGTGCATCGAACAAGTGGCAGCCCAGAATCGTAGAATGTCGATGCTGCCCCAGATGATCGATTCACCTTTCCGGCGGGACGACATTCGGCGCCAGTCCATGCCGGTTTATGGCCAAACTGAGAAGCTCATTGACGGCTTCGGGCCGAGGACCTCCTTCCGCCGTCGCGACAAGGTCAGCTGCTTTGCCGACGAACCTCCCCAGGCCCCCAGTCGCGATGAGCAGGAGATTTTCATCGACTTTAAGCCACACATCTCGCCGAAGCCGAGTCCAAAGTTGCAGCTGAAGCACCGGAAGCAGCACAAGGCGGAAATCGCCATGAAGAAGATGCAGCAGCAGAGGATGGCCCAGGCGGCTGCTCTGACTCTGCCGAAGCCCAAGCCACAGCCAGTCGAAGTTGAGGTTAGAAAAGTTGAACATGAGCCCAGCGAGGACGACGAGGAAGAAGAGGATGCCGAGGAGGAACCCGAGGAAGAGGACGAGGACGAGGAGGAAGAGGAGGAGAAGCTGGATCCCGATCATCCGGAGGATGAGGAGCCACTCTACGAGAACATCACACCCTCGTGTGGCTGCAAAATCGAACCGATCCAAACTGACCTCCAGGATATCCAGGACAAACGGTCACAGTTTCGCAAACGATCGGTTAGCCTCGATGATGATTACGCCGCATCGACGGCCCTGGTATCGGGATCCACTCCTGGCCTGAGACTTCCGTCCACACCGGCCAGTCCTTGCCGGGATGAGCTGCTGGCCAATGTTTCAACTTATCCATCCTCAGACTCGCTGGCCAATGACAATACACGCGATCATTCCGACGGCATCTGGAATGAGTCGCAGGTTACTGTCTTGACGGCTGAACAGCGCGATATTTCCGATGGTTCCTACAGCTCCAACTTGCTGCTGACTCCGTCGTCCAAGCGAAAGAATCTGTTGCTGCAGCATCAGCAACGCAGCTCAGTGGATACGGATGCCTTGGATTTCGAGGAACAGGTAGGAATTCGTTTTCTGTAAACTGGTATTCTTTAATAAGTTTGTCTCCTTTTAGAGTCCCACCTATGGCCTGCAAACACTGCCGAAGATCATAAAGACCAGTACTCCGACCACTTCCAGGCCAGCATCCACCCAACCACTGATACCACCGCCTGCCATTGCAGTGACCCCATCATCGAATCAACTGCCGGAGACCTCCATTAGCTCCCCATTGCCGAAAAGGATAATGGTGGCCAGGGGTTCAGTTCCAGATGCCCGTCAGCTGATATTCATGGGCGGAGCAGGCAAACAAAGGTGGTTGAGGAAGCAAGACTATATATTTTAATTTCAAATTTCAACTAACTCTAATTGAAAATCCTTTACAGACACTCGGATGCATCCTTTTTGCCCATGGGCGGCACGGACTACGCCCGGAGTGCGGATATATCCGAGTGCAGCACCAACACAGATGAGTATGCCACCTGCACGGACAACTCGAAACGCACACCAGGTATTAAGACACCGCCGACCACGACAAGTTCATCGTCGACCACACAAGTGCCAGGTTTGGGCCCCCGAATACAAAAAATCAAAATCCAAAAAACCAAAATCAAAATCGTCCACTGTGTGTGTTCCTGTGTTCCTGTGTGTGTGTAGAAATCGTGGCAAAAAAAAAAAAAAAAATGAAACAGAAACCTCATCATACGTTGCCCTACATCATCGCTTTCATGCTTAAAGCCCATCTTGAAATGCCTATAGCTTTTAGATCGTAGTCTCATCTACCAGAAAACACCTCAACTCTGTGACTGTCTCTGTCTCTACTTCTAGTTTAATGTTGTTCCTGCCTGAAAAATGCCTTGCTCGCCATGCTTTAGCTGTACTTTATGGGTGTTTTTATTACGACTATTCATAAAAATATTTTTAAAACCCTATCTTCTCCCCACTTTATAGTTTCCACGCAGAGCTCGCAGCTGGAAAAGACCCATGCCGGCAGCTCCTTTGAAAGCGCCAGCTCCTTGTACTCCATGCGTGAGGATCTACTGCAGCATGACGAAAAGGATAAGGACAAGGACAAACAGGTGGCTCTTGCCATGATCCAACTAAAATCCCCCATGGGCTCTGTGGCCGAGCTGACCAAGAAGTCACCGTCGCATTCCATCAGTAGCACCACTTCTTCGGGCAGCTGCCCCGTTTCCGGTGTGGCCACCAAGTCGCCTGCCAAGGATGGCCAGCCCCAGACCGCTGTTTCCAGCTCAGGGACGAACCAAACAAAAGTCAGCACCGCGGAGAGTACACCACTGGCGGCTGGTAAGCCCAAACCGGATTCCATATCCGAGGACGAAAGGAGTGAGGTGCGCTACTCCTCGTCGGGCTACTACGAGAGTCCCCACGACGAGGACGACGAGGAACAGGTGATGCGCAGCAAGGCCCGACGACTGCGGCAAGAGGACGAGCGGAAGCGCCGCAAGACCAGCATGAAGCTGGACATCGAGAAGGAGAACATGAGGGCCCTGACTAGTCCCATAAAGAAGCCAGCCACCCAGGGCAAGATCACCTCCCCCGAGCAACAGAATCCTGGCTTGCCCGACACTGGCAGTCCCAGCAAGATGAAACGTTTCCGTCCCAAGATACGACGTCAGTTGAGGAAGAGCTCCAGGGAGGACGTTCTGGCGGCAGCGGCAGCTCGCAGAAGCCGGCCCACTATTTTCGGCCTGAGCAGTGGCAGTGGCGACACGGAGATCCTTTTAGATGCCAGCATGTCTACAGGAACTCTGTCAGGCACAACTGCTTCCATTACCACAAGCAAAATCTCTGTGGGCTCCAAGGCATCAGCCCCAGAGATTACGGCTTCCACCCAATCAGAGCCTGTGGTGCCCTCTTCCGCCGCAAAGAAGCCCCATAGCTGTGCCACGCCTACGGCCCTGCTGTCGCCTAAACTGCCCACAGTCAGCAGCACTCACTCGAAATCGACCTCTGAGACCTTTCAGCTTAAAGCCAAGTCCATTGAGTCCTTGCGCTCCGTGTCGCCAGGATCGGACTCGGTTTTCTACAGCGAGGCTGATGGAAATGCCGCCAGTGCCGATCAGAGTCACTGCCTCCACTGTGGCAAGGAGATGGAGGGAAAGCAGCAGAGCAACACAATCAGCGAACTGGCCGGGGACTCGGTGGAGTCCATACCCTACATCGAACAGGATATAGTGAAGCCACCGTCGGATTTTGCCGACTCCCCAGTGACCACCAAGACCACTCAGCGTTTGTACAAGAAAATGGACAAGCGCTTCCGATCGGAGGAGCGGTATCACGGCGAAAGGGGCAGGCACTACAAGACCAGACAGGAAAACATAAGAGCCAAGGTAGGATTATCATAAATTATATCCCTCCACCATTAATTACATCCTTAAATTATATATCCTAGAGCGAAGAACGTGGTCGGGTGCCCAGCTTGCCGAATACTCCAGTCCTGCGCCCTGCCGGCTCCAGTCCTTGTGTCCTGCCAGACATAAAAACGGAGCAGAGTCAGCACATTATATACAAAGGTCACTACGATGCAGGACGCTATACACGCTTGACCGATGACGATTTGTGGACTCAGTTGGATCATCAATGCTTTGGTGAGTTGAAGAGTACCTTAAACTAAAATAGTTTTAACCAAAAAAAAAATTTTAAGAACTTTGGGCTAAAACAATGTAAATTCTTAAAACCCAAATATCAACATTAGTGATATACCCTTGCGGTTAAGATTTGATATTTATCGAAAATATCCCATATAGTATGCCGATTCTGCATTGAAAGCTTGAGACAAAATATTTTTTAGATTTTTTGTCCATTTTTCGTGATGGATCCCTTGAAAATGGGGTTTTCCCCTATAGGGTTCACTGTGATGGCCATATCTTCTTCAATTCTCATCTGATTCTCAAGCGGAGTACCTTAAACGATTTCTGGGTCGATTCACCACCATTCTGCCACCATTTCATTATGGGATCCCTTGAAAATGGGGTTTTTCCCAGATTTTTTTTATAAGACTTATTCTGATTTTTTTACAGATCGTTCTCGAGAACGTCGTGCCTCCACAGAATCTGAAAAAGGCTTTCATGCCAAATACCAAGTAATTCTCCATAGACTGGTTCAACGTCGCTGCACCCTGGAAATGTATCATCGCCAAAAACACAACAGCTTTCGTAAGTTATTCATAAGAAAATCTAAAATCGATTTATTGGGCGAAAGATAAAGCCTTCTGCTAGAACTGAGAACAGGAGACCTTAAAAAGTTTGACAAAAAATGTTTTTTTTTATAAAAAAAACATCTAAACGAAAAAAACACCCTGTTCTATCACCCAAAACAATATTCTAATTTTGGCGCAACGTGCGTGGCTTTTACAATGAACTAGCGAGAGAGATCGGGAGAAAAGCCAGCGAGGTAGTAGAGCCTTATAGATAATGAATGGCGCTCCGCCGACTTTTCACGACCGGCACTTGGCATACACAACTATATGTAGAACCGAAAAAAACGGCTGGTAGTTTTGATTTTTTTGGCTTATTGTTAGTCGAGTTGCGTGCTTTGTTGTGGGCCGACCATAAAAAATTCTGAACGCCTCTTACGAATCTAAGGCAAATGTAAATAAAATAAAGTGCGAAAAGTGAAATATTTTTGGTGGTATTTACACATAACTAAAGCCAAATGATTGGTGGGTAAACAAAAACCAAATAGTCGGGCCATCCTCTAGTAATTTTCTTATTATTTTTCTTATTATTTTTTCTCTTTTTTTTGGCCGATTAGAGTTAATAGCCTCCAATTCAGCGCCGGATTCGGTTCGTCGGAAGTTGGAGGAGGTCCTAAAGCTAATGCTTCTGGTTTGGGCACGCGAGAGCTATGTGATATCCACACTGAGCAATGGTGCACATGGTAACTGATGACCGGACAGCGACAATCCGGAAATAAAATCACACAAATCACTTAAATCGCTTTCCTCTATAAATAAGCTCGCATGACTTTTACAGTGAGATAAATTTTCATCTATTTTCTATGCTTTTTTCCAGGCGTGGACAAGACTGTGGTGGTGAAAAGTGATTCGGGTGAGTTTGGCTTTCGCATTCATGGCTCGAAGCCCGTGGTGGTGGCTGCCATTGAACCGGAGACTCCGGCTGAGAGTTCGGGCCTCGAAGTGGGCGACATCATCATATCCGTGAATGGGGTTCAGGTGCTGGACAAACATCACACCGAGGTGGTTAAGATAGCCCACGATGGCTGCGAGAAACTGGAACTCAGGTAGCCAGGACCATTGGGGTCCTCATGCACGAACAGCTGGAGCCACCAAGTCAGCCCATTTTCAGCGGATATCTGTGGCGGCAGAGTGGGCAGGCCAAAGGAGCTCCCAACTCAAAGAAATGGGTGCGACGTTGGTTCTCCCTGAGGCCCGATAATTGTCTGTACTACTACAAAACTGAAGATGTAAGTTAAAAGGACATTACTAGGAATCTCTTAATTAAAAATCATGTATTTCCAGGACTCTCAGCCTGTGGGTGCCATGATTATGGCCAAGCACACCGTCGACTTGTGCTCCGTGGACATTGGCAAGCCATTCGCCTTCAAGGTGGACTCTGGCGAAGGCATCCCCATGTATGTGGCTGCCGACTCCGATGAACTGGCCAACCGGTGGCTCCAACTTCTAAGACAGGCAGCTGCTCAGGATAACCAGTGGCTAGACAAGAGGTGAGATAACACGTTCACCAACTGATATGAAATCGGAATGTTCCTAATTCTGTCGATCTCATTTAACCATCTCTCCTACAGTGCCCGGTGTTTGTATCAGAGCCCCACCAGCATCCAAAGGCCCGATTGCTTCGGCTACTTGCTGAAATTGGGCTCAAGGTGGTGCGGCTGGTCGAAGCGGTATTGTGTTCTTAAGGATGCCTGCCTCTATTTTTACCAAGATGCAAATAGCAAGAGTGCATTCGGTGAGTCATTTTAAGAGACCAGTGCCCAGGTGATTGACCAACAATTAATTCAATTCTATTTAATTAGGCATGGCCTGCTTGCACGGCTACAAAGTGGCCTCAATGTCCGCGAACGCGTCCGGAAAGAAGAACTCGTTCGAGATAATACCACCAGAAACCAAATTGCGTCATTATTTTTTCTGCACCGAAAGCGAAATGGATAAGAAGCGGTGGGTATTTATTTATATATTTTACTGATCTCTCGAAGATTTAACCCTGCTTTTTTTTAGCTGGATATCCGCACTGGAATACTCTATTGATCGCTGGATAAAGTCCGGGTAACTAAGGTTAAAGACACGCTCCAGATCGGCTCTGAGCAGCCGGCTCAAGCGTCGCAGTTTTAGCTATTTCATGGATTAGGCCAAGATTCATGGACTTGTTCGACACTAGTACGGGTACTACCAAAACAAAACACACACTTAGAATGTAAGCCAAGGAAACGGAAACCAATTAGTCTTTAGGCATAGATGATTGCTTAGTCCAAGGAATTTAGTCGGTCATTCAAAAATCGGGTTTAAAACTATTTTGAACAAAAGCGTACTTACACGTATATATTATATACACATATAGAGGAATACAATTGAACATTTTTGGTGTGTATTCTTGTTATATAGCTTACAAAATTAACATATATAGGTATATATATACAACTAATGTTTAGTGAGGTTGTCATGTCACTTAAATATACAAAAATATAGCCGCGCGAGGGGAGAAGAGATCGTACAGCAGACCAAATTGATTGTCTAATGTATATAGAATTCATCTAGGCTAAATCGGAATCCAAATTAGAATGATTAGGTATTCAAGGCTCCAAAGGCAAGGCACGGCGAGAGATTTTTAGATAAATGTCTATTTACAGAAAGGGTAAACCAAAACGAGAAAGACGCGAGACCAACATTTCGGAATTATCAAAGATTAATAGTTCATTCAGAAATCCTTATCGAGGGCCGACACAAGTTTCCCATTTTCCATAGCTGCTTCCATCGTCATAAATATATAAATAATATACGAAACGGGGTTTATGTGAATAATCATCAACGGTTTTCGTCCTTATTGGAAACGATTCTTAGTTAGAGACAATTGAGATATAAGCCAGACTTAGTTAGCTTTTTGATAGGTTGCGGTTTTTTTAGGAGGCACACTCACACATCAATGTTCATAGTAGATCAAACAATAATATTAATAGATATTAATTCAGAATCCAGTAGTTACTTTGTCGTATAAAGATATGATCTTTAAAATGCTGATTTCCTAATTTTTTTGGGTCAGTATTCAAATACCAAGATTGAGTGAGGATGCAACACTTATGAAGCTTCAGTTTTGTGTTTATTAAGACGATAGCGAATATATACATATATTTTATATATTTTAAATAGAAATTTCCAATTCGGCGACACTGCAAATTAAATTAAACACAAGAACTACAAAGTGTTAGATATTAAATGTATGCATTATGATTATTAAATTATTATATATACAAAAAACACATGAGAGGCAGCCATTTTATGTTGTAAGTCATCGAGTGGACACACAAAGAAAAAAGAAAACTAAATAAGAGCTTTAATTATTAAATAAAGAATATACCGAGAACAAATGACAAATGTGTGTCTCGCTGACAGCCGGGGGCATTGAAATGCATCTAACCATCATTAATTTGGCTCAACGATCCGATTCCAAATCGGATTCGATCCAGGCCCAGCCCAAAAATTGAGAAAAACTCAAGCTACCTGCTGGGGCCAACGAAGCATTTCAAATGCGATCAATGAACCTGTTGCTTTGGGCCCTCTAGCCCCCGCCAACATAGATACTACTAACAATTTCCAACTACCAGATGAACTCCCCAGTCGACCACATGTTTTACACAGTTTTCAAGTAATTTATTTGAAAATCGTTAAGCGATGCAAAATATTCAAGGAGTGAAGCTACAGGAAATTGTGGGCACTGAGGAAAAATGGGTAAGGTATTATGGATGTTTAAAATTTTTAAGGCCTCTAAGGATTCTGTTTTGTACCAGAAGAACAATAGAAAAGTGTCGTGGAAGAACCTGATATCATATCGTCCTCAATCTAGACTTTTTCGGTCTTATAATGTCATTTATAAAGGTAAAGATATGGAATACATATTTAAAAATACAAAATATATTTGTTTTAGTACAGGAAACTTTTTTGTCTAATTTTGTAAAAATTCTTAATCTATCTCTCGTATAGTTTTCCTTTGAAATACCTATCTTTTTTCAACCCATTTATCTTATTTGATATTTTTTCAAGTGCAACACCAAACAGCAGCAGCAGCAACAGTTGCTGATGGGGGAAGTCAACGACTAGCATAACAATTCGCTCGCCCTATGAGCCAGCTACCGTTTTCCGTCTTCTCTTTTCGACCAATTCTTTTTCTTACCAACAACTGCCGCTTTGTATCTACATTTACGGTTTTTGCAGTGGCAACAGCCACAATTTAGTTCCACTGTGCAGTCAGCGCCTTAATTACACGGGCCTGGCTCTCTTTTGTTTGGAAGGTTTGTTTTTTTTTTCTTCATGGGTATGGGTATGGGTTTGGGTTTTCTTTTCAACATCGCGATCATTATGATCATTATTATCGAAACTCCCTCTCCTTTGGAATCTGGTAAGACCCTGACTTTTTGTTGTTACCTTCTTTCCTTTTATGAAAAGGGAAAGAAAAGGTAAGTTGCCAGATGGTTGGTTCTGAAAACTTTCATCATCTAGTAGGATACAGTATTTTGACAGTATCGGGGTATTGGGTTTCAAGAAAAAAGAATTCCTCAAAAAGACTATAATACTAAGGAAATTCCATAGTTATAAACTTTTAATCGCAAATATTGCATTAATCTCCAGACACCCTAAACTTCCAGGTATTAACAACCCTTTCTTCGCCGAAACCTTATCGTCTTACCTTCCTAAAAATAAATAATTTCCGATTAGTCATTCCCCTTAACGAATCCGCACAAGTGACCCAAGAACCCAATACTCCCCCGCAACAAAATTTATGCATATAATAACAATAAACGGGGGACTACCACAGTTACACCCTCCAGTAGCGTATGCACCCTTCTTGGCCCCTAGCACCTCCCCCCTCGTAACCCTGAACAGGCAGTGGCAATCTGGCAACACCCGGGTAATTTTGGTCTACCCCCGGACTTGACCAGGTTGGAACCAAAAAAAAAATAAAAAATAAAAAAAAGCAGCAGTCGGTGGTGGTAGTCGGTAGTTGGTCGGTAAACAGGTAGCGCTCTAACTGACAATAACTCGTCGTACGAATGCACGTTCCACGCTCCGCCAGTCCGTCGGCTCTCTGGGGCGGGCTGTCCGTCAGTCCGTTTGTCCGGAAATCAGCGTGCGACTGGCGGTCGGTTGGGTTTACTTCGATTCCTCTCTTACACTTTGAGAAATCAAAGGGGGTTTTTAAATCAATAGATTAGGTTGTATCTTTTTTGAATGGGGACTATAAGATATAACCCAAAATGGGGGTTAGGTGTACGATCTCTTAGGTTGTATCTCCTAAAACCTTCCTTATAGAATAGGTCTGGTTAAGGAATTGGTTATCTGGTTATCTTTTAGATACTTTTTTGTATGGCTATCCAATTGTTAGATATTTTTTCAAGTGCAATAAGCTGGTTTTCCAGCTACTCGTTGAACTCTCGGCCAGTTTCTCTCCGACCCACGGCTCTCTGTCTCCAAGACTCTCTCCCTCTGGGCCCAGATCGGTGGTAAGTGGCTCAGTCTTCGAGAATTGATCGTGGTTAACACACCTGCGCGCGGATCGCAGTGGAAAAAAGTGAACTGCATTTGTATGTCTCTCTCTCGCTTCCACGACTTGTATCTGTATCTTGTATCGCCCTGTGCCCCTGCGGCTGGGAATCTGTGTGTGTGTTGGAGTGGTTACGATTATAGGTGTGTGTGTGTGTGAGTGAACTTGTTGCATCGCCAGCCGCCTCGAGAAAAGCGCTTTTCAACTGCAACTGACTCGCTGTGTGTGGGAAGAGTTGGGACTACTTGAGGAGCGAATTGGTAGCTGCACTGGCTTCAGCTCCTATTTCAAACAAAATGTAGAAAAACACATTTCAGCTGCCGTGTATCTCCAACTCGTACTCGTTCTGTTCGCATCGGTTCGCTTCGTTTTTTGCTTTCGGTTCGAGTTTGTTTTTCGGTCGGATGTATCTTTGTATCTGAGTACGAGTTGTACGTGGATTTTTTTGGACTCTTTATTTTTTGTTGTTTTTGATTTTTCTGTCCGCTCGCATTTACGTGGTTTGTGGTAGCTGACTGCCGTTGATGCTGCTGGCTGCTCCCGTAACCGCCCCCCTGCCGCCCTCTCCCCCGCCCCCTCGGGTCGATCGTGCCGTGATTTGTACATATCTCAAAAAATTGTCTCCCCTGTGTACGTGTTTGTTAAATACATTTACGTTTAAAAACAGCAAGTGTTGGTGCGCGTTACGCTTAAAAATATTAATTATAAACCCAGATAAATTTCAACCCAAAAGCATCTCGAATCTAAAATAAATTCTAAACCAAAATTCAATCTCTTAAATTGCAGAAATTCTTCATAAAAATTAACTAAAAAGTTATTAACAAACAAAATTCTGGAAAAATTCCACTTATCCTTTGTTTTGTGAATAAAAAAAGAAAACAAACACATTTGAAGTGCCACTCAATACACTGGATTCCTACCTTAAAAACAAAAACAATGCCAGGCATTTTAATGGCTAAAAACTAACAACAAAAAATCTGGAAACCAAAACTTGTTCAAAAAGACTACTTGGATTCTTGTCAGCTCTCCGGCCGAAAGATAAAGCTTACAGAGCCCGAGGCTTTCTTCTGTTTAACCCACAGGTAAGAGTCTAAAAAGAACAGGCCCTGCCCACTAAGGTGAACACAAAAATTCCACAGCACTTAATTTTTTTGTTTTGTTTTTATTTTTCTCTCTTGGCGTAGGGCTAGCTAATTATTTTTGTTATTTTATTTTTGTATTTTTGCGTTGGCCAAAAAGGTAGCGAGTAGCCAAAATCAACGAGTGCCGAGAGAAAGATTCGAATTTCAAAAGTATCTCAAAACCTGCTCCACACTAAGAGAGAGAGAAACACTGAGAATGAGAGAGAGCGACAGAGAAGGGGAGCCTGAGAAACAGAGAGAGACGGAGACAACGTTGGCGGCAGTTGGCGGTTGGCGGTTGGCGGACTGTCGACCGACAGCGGCTTCCACTACAACTGCATGTGCCACTGTCATTGCCACCGAACTCAGTGTGGTGCCGCAGTCCGCTGTGGAGCAAGAGCCCCTCGGCCCGAGCCCCACCTCCTTGCCCTGCTCCGCTGGCTATTGTTGTTACTGTTGTGGCGCTCGGCTTTCCAGCTTGGGCTTTTGGACCGGGACCGGCTCGAGCCGGGCTTAAAAAAAAACCTTCGTTAGGAATTCAGTGGGTCTCTTATACAGATACCCTTAAAATGAGAATAGGATGTTGGGTTCTTTGGGAACTTTATTTTAAGCTAAGATATTTTTTAAAGTTTTGGAAGTTTCTTTAAACTTTATTTTTCGGGTTTCATTTAAAAAAAATCTTTTAAGATTTTAGTATAATATTGTTTTTGATGATCAATCTAAAACTATAGATATTTAAGACTTTTCCTCTTTGGCCAAAACCCTAAAATACTTCCTAAATATACTAAGCTGGGCTAAAAATTAATACATTAAAAAAATACAGTCTGGTTAATATTAAATCTTAAAATTAGATAAGAAGCATCGAAGCTATTCTCATACTTCATATATAGACCTAAATAAATATCCCTAAACTAATCCTTTTTAAAGAGCCTTTATTTAAAGTTGAAACCCCAAATATTTTAGTCTTCCTAACTTAACATATACCATTTATTTAGTAGGGTATTATTATATTCGTTTATACCTCCTGAGTTTGTTTCCACCTTTATCTTTTTTTTTCTTGTAAACCAGTTCACTTGTAGCCAGTGCCAGTGGCCAGTGGTCTTGCTCTCCGAATCCG